TTCCTTTCCTTTCCTTTCCTTTCCTTTCCTTTCCTTTCCTTTCCTTTTTCCTTTCCTTTTTTCTTTCCTTCCCTTTTCTTTCTTTCTTTCTTTCTTTCTTTCTTTCTTTCTTTCTCTCTCTCTCTCTCTTTCTTTCTTTCTTTCTTTCTAAATGTCTGTTTGTGTATGTGTTTTAAGATTTATTTATTTTATATAGTTGTCACACGCCAGAAAAGGGCATTTGAACCCATGACAGATGGCTGTGAGCCACCATGTGGTTGCTGGGAATTGAACTCAGGACCTCTGGAAACACAGCCTGTGCGCTTAACCTCTGAGCCATCTCTCCAGCTCACCTCTGTTTTCTTGAGTGGTTGGAATCCCAGTGAGGAGTGTTTGTGGCAGTTGGGTTTTCCCTTGGGTGGTCCCTGTTCCCTTTGCCATCTCAGCCACGGGCTGCAGTCCCAGAGCAGAGACTCCAGTCAAAGGTGAGGAGTATGCACTCTGTCCAGGCAGCTCTCAGGTTTCTCTTGTTTTGATTTTGAGAGAGAGTCTTACCTTGTTAACTCTAGCTGGCCCGGAACTTGTCACATAGAGCAGGCTGGACTCAGATTCAAGATCTTTTTGCCTCTGCTTCTCTTGAATGCTGGGATTGATGGCGTGTGTCACCATAGTTGGTCTTCTCGTGTGTTTTGAGAAAGGGTCTTACCCTGTAGCCCAGGATAGCCTTTCACATTCATAGCAATCTTGCCTCATCCTCCCCAAAGCTGGAATTACAGGCATTTACCCATCATGCCTAGCTAAGTTGGTATATTTCTTAGTTGGCAAAGATGATTTTCCAGTGGTATGAACTGCTTTTATTTCCTGTAATCTACCCTAGACAGGTAAAATTTAAATCAAAGATAAGACAGAAAACCTCAATTCCGGGCTTCCTTATTTTGATCTTTAAAATCACGAATCAGCCAGTTTGGATCAGTCAGATGTGGTGGCTCATTCCTCTAGTCCCAGATCTCCAGAAGCAGAGGCAGGTAGATATCTGTGAATTTGAGGCCAGCTTAGTCCATACACGAGTCTTCAGACCAGCCAAGGCTACATAGTGAGACCCTCTCTCAGCCCCGCCTCAAATATAAAATTATGAATCAGTTTGGTTTTGTCATTCCTCAGATGTGGTGCTTCCTTTGGGTGGTAGTTTAGATATATATAATCCTAGCCACCCTGACTGGGTTGCTGGACTGAGACTGAAGCTGAGTTGGGCAGTTTAGCAAGATGCCAGTCTCAAAGCAAAAGAAAGCATAAAGTAGAAATAAAATCTTAGAAGTCTTTACCAGCAACTTGGCTTCTTTAAGTAGTTGGATAAACGCTTGCATCTCAGTCAGGCGGGCAGCAGCAGGCTTAGGAGTTCACTGAGGCCAGGTGCTCTGCGCATGTGCAGTTCTGCAGTCTGTGCACACACGTACTCCCTTGAGCTGGGTCAGCAGGAGCCACTGCTGTTTGGAGACCTTAATGCATATAAATTACTTTGAATATTTTATCTTTCAGGTCTTGTGCAACTGTTAATTTCCAGGGGATTTCAGGAAAGCTCAGATCCAAGAAGACTTGTCGAGCCTGAGAAGACAGCCCAGGTAGGAAGGAAAAGTAAAGGCGGGAGGACAGTTGGGCTTTTTGAGACAATCTCGTGTAGACAAGGATGATCTTGAATTTTCTTTTTGTCTCTCTGTGTAGCCCTGGCTGTCCTGGAACTCACTCAGTAGACCAGGCTGGCCTTGAACTTAGAGATTCACCTGCCTCTGCCTCCCTAGTGCTGGGTTTAAAACTTGTGCCACCATGCATGGCGTGAGCTTGAATTCCTAATCTTCTTGAGTCTACCTCCTAAGTGTGTTGAGATTATAACTGTGCACTACCACTTCCGATTGTATGATGTGCTAGGGACCAAACCAAAGGCTTGCCTCTTTGTAAAGTTAATCTGCCTATATGCCTGCCTGTAGTAACCCCCCACACTTTCTGTCTTTTTTTTTTTCTGTCTGTCTCTCTTATACACACACACACACACACACACACACACACAGCAGAACTTACGTGGATTTATTAAGGAAATGAGAAAGAGCTCGCAAGAGTGAGGCAGTTTCTTCTTTACCTCAGCATAGCAAGGCATTCTCCTGTGTATTGCCAGCATGTGACTGCTCAAGAATTAATTACCAAGTGGATTTGTGTTCTGTTGACAGGTTGCCACTGATGTACTGCAGAGAATGCTGGCTTGTAAGTTGTTTGCTCTGAGCCTCTGGATATAAGTGACTCATTCCCTTACTACCAGTTCTAGCAGATTATGTATGTATGTATGTATGTATGTATGTATGTATGTATGTATGTATGCATGCATGCATGTATGTGTGTGTGTATGTATGTATGTGTGTGTATGCATGTATGTATATATGTATGTGTATGTGTGTATGTATGCATGTATGTATGTGTGTGTGTATGTATGTGTGTGTGTGTATGTATGTATGTATGTATGTATGTATACATGCATATGCCTCTGCACAGAGGCCATACAATGGTGTTACTTCCCCTGTAAGTAGAGTTAAAGACAGTTATAAGCTGTCAGGCAGGTGCTGGGAATTGAACCTGGGTCGTCTGAAGAGTGCCCTGGCTGTCCTGGAACTCAGTCTGTTGACAAGGCTGGCCTTGAACTTAGAGATCTGCCTTTCTCAGCCTCCCGAGTGCTGGGATTAAAGACAGAGGCAGAACGCTAACCTTGCACATTCCGTCCCTAGACCCGCAGAATGTCTAGAGCGATAAAGTCACCAGCTCCGTTCAGCATCCACAGTTCTTCGAGTTCTCTTTGACTCTTCAGCTCACAGATCCCAGTGGTCAGACGGGACTTAGATAGACTGACAGACGTGGTGTTGTCCAAGGAGATTCTGGATCTCCAGAGACCTATGACAGACATTGGCCTTTTGTCTAAGAATGTTGGAGTGACACAGGACAGGGACCCTCATGGGACTGATCTTGTTTTTCCTCCCTGTGTTCTGTCATCAGTTTCACTTGACACCCTGGATGCTGCTCCACAGACGACTTTGGATCACCAGGCAGTGAGTGGCTGGTACGTCTGTGGGGCCTGCTGTTCCTGTGAAAGGTGTTCTTGCTTCACTAGGAAGCATGGCGTCTTAAACCCTTGGGTGGCGGCAGTCACGGGCTGGGTACTCTCTGCTGGTTGGTGACCTCGGGGAAGATTGTTGCTGAAGCCCAGGAGGTCTGTCCAGCCTTTCCTAAGGTGGAGCTAGAGATCTCTTTCTTATTGCAGAATCCTGTTCAGCCTCCAGATTTCTAGGGTGTGGGACCCCAAAGGCCCTTCAGCCCTACTTTTTGTCATGTGTCTGTGACCTCCCTCTCATGTGTCTGTCCTCAGCTGTGGTGTATAACTTTCCTAGTGTGTCTAGTCTCCCGCCTGCTTCTAGACTCTTGATCTCTTCAGATGGCTTACTTCTGTCTTGATGAACCCACATGTCCCCATGATTCACTTTTCCCCTGTGGCTTCACGGCCTGGGAGAGAAGTGCTTTCCAGGATTGAAGGAGGGTGAGTCCCACTGGTTCTCAGATATACATGAACCAGGCTAGGGACACCCCCTCATGCCGTTTGCAGGATTACTGTATACTCCGGACATACATGCTGTGGTATGGTCGCAGAGGATTCTCTGAAGAGCTTCTTCAGTCATACGCTAACTCAGATTCTGACGCACAAGCCTGTGCTGAAAGGTGGGCCGCCGCTCCATGGCCGCAGTCTGCCCATTTTGGGGTCTCTTCTCCTATCCCCATGGTGGAACTCTCACAGAGATGTCAGTGACCCTTGGGTAGGCATGTGGTTCTGTCCTCCTCAGGCTCTTGAGCGCCGAGACCCGGGGGTGAAATGGAATGCTTTAAGACCCCTTGAGATCATGACACTATCCCCGAGTCTGGCATCCTTGTCTGGAACCAGAATCCCTCTGATTCTGAAGAATGACCTCAGTTAACGAAAGGAAACGGTCGTGTCAGCAGTACTTGAAAGAATTAAAACAGTTGACACTGAAACTTTTAAAAGACAGGGTATTTCAGTCGGTCGGTTGGTTGGGTTTGTTCTTTTGCTTTTTTAATAAATGCTGACTTGAAGTTTTCTGTTCTTCCTCCCCAGTGTCTGACGCCATTCAAATGCAGAAAGAGTGGAGCTTTGCAAAGACACACCATCTGCTCACGGATCTGTACTGCAGGGTGAGTGTGGGATTGGCGTACTCTGTAGCGGGATTTCAGGTGTAAGACTGGATCAGACTGGTTCCTGTGGGCGCTCCCAGTGTGAGAAGGTTCAGGAGTCTCTAGCAAGACAAGAGTCCTCACCAGGATTGCAGTTCAGGATCAGGAGACTGAACTTGTCATTGGGCAGAGCCTTTCCTTCTCAGAATTCTTCCAGCCAGTGCTGAGCACCGCAGAGAGGAGAAACATGGCGGCCACTGTCGTGGCTCCTCATGGAGTCTGCACTTCTTTGGTGTTGGAGTGGAGGGGCTAGACAGAGCAGAAGAGCCGGTCCCCGCCTGGCAGTGGTGTACTTGGGTTTTGAAAGGAGCTGGGGCTCTTATTCCAGGTTTTGGTGACACTGGGTCCAGAGGAGTCAGTTGGCCGTTTGCAGGAAGTCCTGGAGACGCAGGAGGTTAACTGGCAACATGTGCTGTCCTGTGTGTCTACACTGGTTGTCTGCTTTCCCGAGGCGCAGCAGCTGGTTAAAGGTGTGTGTTCACAGGGGCCCTGTGATGCTGTTGAGCATGCGTGCAGGTGATTTGCGTGCAAATGTGAATTTCATCCCGCACAAAGCACATGACTGATGCCGTCACTCACTAAGAACTTAATAGAACCCTGTCTGTGTGTGTGTCCGTTGATGTGAGTCTGAGGCAGCTTGTATCCAGCATGAGGTGACTGTTGCCATGTAAGAGCCCAGCTCAGATACTCAGTCACCTGCAAAGCTCTTGTTCTGTGAGTGACCCGCCCTCGTCTGCCACTGACTGTGTCCTAACCTCACAGATTGGGTGACCACTTTGATGGCCCGGGCCTTTGAGAGCTACCACCTAGACAGCATGGTCACTGGGTTCCTGATTGTGCGCCAGGCTACTCTGGAGGGCCCCTATGTGTTCCCATCCTATGCAGATTGGTTCAAGGTGAGTCACCTGGGAAGCCGGTTCTCTGACGAGCCAAGGGTTTTGATTGGGGTGGGGGTGGGAGCTGCTGACCTCAGTGCAGCAAGCTTGGTCAAGGCCGATCCTCACGTGTTTCTAGAAGCTGTCTACTACGATCTGCGTCCTGAGGAATCACCTGTTGGGTGGAATCTCCTTTTCTGGAACCTTCCTAAGCTGGGAGTCTGCTCAGCAAGAGCAGGAGCAGCAGCTGCTCTGTGTCAGACACGCTGCTCCGTTCTTTCCAGAAGGTTCTGAGGCGTGTGCCTCCTCCTTACACGGACCCCATTTGTGTGTCCATCTTCTGCGTTTGGCTGCAGCCTGTGTTTTTTGTCTGTGCCGTGCTCCTGAGCCTGAGAGTCACGAGACTCACCCTGCAAGGGCTTTCAAAGTACAGATCTCAGGTCATCCCTGGCCTGTCGAGGCTGTGCTCCCAAGGTGAAGTCTGCAGGGAGGTCCTTGGCCAGCTGGTGTGGATACAGGCTTAGGCCAGTAGGTTGTGTGTGCGTGCGTGTGCGTGTGCGCACTGTGGGTTCCAGGAGTCAAACTCAGGTTGTCAGGTTTGCACAGCAAACACTTTTACCTGCTAAGACATCTTCTGCATCCTAAATTAACCATTTGTTTATTTTAATAATAATAGTCGTAGTAATTTTGAAACAGGGTCTCACTATCTGGCTTTGGCTAGCCTAGAGCTATGTAGACAAGGCTGGCCACAAACTCAGAAATCTACCCACCTCTGGTACCTGAGTGCTGGGATTAAAGACATGTGCCACCATGTTCCACTTCATATTTTTATCTCTGTGTGTGCGTGTGTGTGCGGGCAGGGTGGGGGGACGGTGCAGAAAGAGAGGGAGGGAGGAAGTGAGTTTAGTTTTGTGTTTTGTTTTTTGAGACAGGGTTTGTGTAACCTTAGCTGTCCTGGAACTCAGTCTGTAGACCAGGCTGGGCCCAAACTCAGTTCTGAACAGCAGGTGCCCTTAATTGCTGAGCTATCTCCTTAATCCCTCCTTTTAACCTTTTAATTTAATTTTAATTTTATTATTTTTCGTGTATGAGTGTTTTAGTTGCATGTGTATCTGTGTACCTGTGTGTGCTTGGTACCCATGAGGCCTGAGGAGGGCTTTGGATTCTCTGGAGCCACCATGTGGGGTTTGAGAATTGAACCCGCGTCGTCTGGAAGAGCAGCCAATGCTCTCACGTCTGAGTTTTCTCTCCAGTTGTCCCTTCTTACTTTACCTTTTAAGATCATCAAGATATAATTTAGGGCTGGGGCGAAGGTTCAGTGGGTAAAACACCTGCCACACAAGCAGGACTCCACATTCAAAAGCCCAGAAGCCAGCTAAAGTCAATAATGCACTCCTCCACGGCGGCATGCCCCTCCTCCATGGCGGCACGCCCCTCCTCCACAGCCCCTCCTCCACGGTGGCACGCCCCTCCTCCACAGCGGCACAGACCCTCACGGCAGCATACACCTCTGGTTGAGCACTCCTACAGTGCAGTGGGAGCCAGTGACACAACCCCCAGAAGCTTACAGGACAGCTAGCCCAGCATATCCCGGTGACAAAAGACCCTGTCTCAAAGGGAACATGGAACCTATGAACAACACTATTTTAAAGATATAATTCATAAGCCAGGTGTGGTATCCCACGCCTTTAACTCCAGCAGAGGTCATCTGCAGTCGGGTGGCAGAGGTCATCTGCACTCGGGTGGCAGAGGTCATCTGTAAGAGGAGCAGGTGCCGTCAACAGCTGAGCTGTCTCTTTAGCCCCAGAAAAGAACTGTCCTGTCCCAGAGTGTCAATGACTTCTGTGACCCCAGATCTAGGTGTGTGTCCCTTGTCTCTATGGCTATTCTAGTAGTTAGAAAACAGCTGGGAGCTAAGTGGCTTCGGCAGCCTTGAGTAGACCCAGCTCGGTCTCATTCCGGATGTCGGGGTGCTGAGCTGTTTCTCTTATATGTAGCACAGTTGGTGTCTCTGACCTCAGAGACTAGCAGGGCACTGTCCACAATTCACTTCTGGGATTTTTTGATTGTTTGTTTGATTTTGGTTTTGGTTATTTGAAATAAGGTTTCTGTGTGTATCCTTGACTGTCCTAGAACTCATTCTGTAGACCAGGCTGGCCTTGAACTCGGGGTTCCACCTGCCTGCTGGGATTTAAAAGGTGCATCACCATTCCTGGCTGAATGGTGTTTTAGTATCAGCAGTCTAACATGCAAAAGAATTGTCCGATCTTGGCAAAATGTTTGCTTCCACAAAACCATCACAAGGCTTCAGTTCATTTGTGGCTTAATGTTTGGTCTCAAATGTGCCTTGCCCGTCTCACGTGGCCTGCATGGCCGAGGTGTGTATGGTTTAGGAGTGGGTTGGGCAGTTTCTGCATGTGGTCGTTCATGTATGACAAACTCTGTTTTGATTCATTTGTTCCTACATGCCTCAGCCCTGTACTCTCACGGTATCCACAGGTGGCCGGGCTGCCTCAGGCTTGACCCTTGTTCCATGACTTCAGTGTCTTTGGTTGGAGTCAGGGGGCAGCCATTTGGGCCTTTTTCCTTGGCTGCCTACCATAGAGTGATATTTCTGGTTTTGGTGAGTCTGGAGACAGAAATCAATGTGTTGAAGAGTGTCTCAAGCTGATGAAATGGACACATTTGTTAAGAGCCTCTGTGTTCCTGATACTCAGAGGATCCCATACTTACTATTTTTGTTTGTTTTGTTATTGTTTCTAAGACATTATTGTTTCTTATGTAGCCCAGGCTGGCCTCAGACACACTATATTGTTGAGGATAAACTTCCATCCATAGTACATCCATCTCCACAGAGTGCTGGGGTACAGGCTTGTTTGTTTGTTTGTTTTTAATCACACTTGTGTTTTGGAAGTTGCTGGGGATTGAACTTAGGACATTGTGTATTCTAGATAAACACTCCACCAGCTAAGGTCTATCTGTGCCAGCTAGGCTATGTCTGTGTCTACACCACCTGGCTGTATCTACACCAGCTGGCTGTATCTGTACCCTCTTTTTGTCAGTGTTGTCTTGAGACAGGTTTTCATGTTTAGTCCAGTCTGGCCTGGAACTCTCCATGCATCCCAGTAGCACTCCTCCTGCCTCAGCCTTCCGAGCACTGGAGTTACAGGCCTGAACCACCACATCCTGCCCAGAGATACTATTCGCACAGCAGTTGTGACTTCTCTAATAAACTTGGCTCATCCCTGGCACATTTTAAAGTCTCGGAACCAAAATTACTTCTCTTTTTTCAGCGGTAGTTTTGTGTCTGGGCAGATGTAGGTACTGAGCTCTTGTTGGCCAGCACAGTGCAGAGCGGGCTCCTACTGACAGTAAGTGGCCCCTGGGTGTCTCTCTCTCTCTCTCTCTCTCTCTCTCTCTCTCTCTCTCTCTCTCTCCAGGAGTCGTTTGGGAGCTCTCATGGCTACCACAGCTGCAGCAAGAAAACACTGGTCTTCCTCTTCAAGTTCCTGTCTGACCTCGTGCCCTGGGAAGCCCCTCGGTACATGCAGGTAAGGAGCCGACAGCTGCATCCTGAGGCTGTCTGCTTGTGATGTCCTATCTGAGGGTTGCCCTAGCCTCCTGTATGTAGATCAGGTGATGCCTAGCATTGAGGTACAGTGAGCCAGTACAGGCACTCAGGAGTCACCCACACATCCAGCTCAGGGGAAGAGAATGTATTTTACCAGTATGCAGTAAAGTGCCCACCACATTGGGCTCTCAGAAGGATGAGCAAGTCCAGATGGGGTCTGGGAAGATGCTGGGGAGGAAGAGCGACTGGGAGATCAGTAAATGCAGGACGGTCTGGTTTTGCCTTAATAAAATGATACGGTTTTATGTGTTCAAGTTCTAGGTCCTAGAGAGGTGGCTCAGTGATTTGTCCTTCCAGAAGACCCGGGTTCAATTCCTAGCACCCACGTGGTGGCTCATAGCTGTCTGTAACTCGGGTTCCTGGGGAATCTAATGCTCTCCTCTGGTCTTTGCAGGCACCAGGCGCACCCACGATGGGCAGATATACACATTTTTTTTTTTTTTTTAAAGATTTATTTATTTTACTTATGAGTACACTGTAGCTGTCTTCAGACACACCAGAAGAGGGCATCAAATCTCAATACGGATGGTTGTGAGCCACCATGTGGTTGCTGGGATTTGAACTCAGGACCTCTGGAAGAGCAGTCAGTGCTCTTAACCACTGAGCCATCTCTCCAGCCCCCAGATATACACATTTTTAATACATATTAAAAACACCCACACATATTAAATTTGATATAAAAAAACTTCATAATGATACCCCCAAATTTACAAAGGTCATTTCTTCTGGAACTTTTTGTTTTCTTTTTTTAATAAAAGGAGTTTATGTAAGTCTGCCGTTGGACTATTTGTCACAAATCTGGGATGTGTAAACTTTGAATCCCAGCATGTAGGAAGCAGAGGTAGGATCACCACAAGTGTGAGAGAGAAGTCTGCTTGGCACAGGCATTCTGGGACAGCCTAGACTACTTTGTAAGACACTGTCTCAAAACAAGAAGAGAAACAACTCTTGAAGCCGGAGATAGTGGCACAGTGCTGTAGTCCCAACATTTCGGAGCCAAAGGCGGGAGGATCATAAGTTCTCTCTAGGCCAGGCCTCCACAGCAAGATGCTGTCTTACACTCCCGAAGGGTCTGAAGCTGGGCATGGTGGTATAGGTCTCAGCCACTCAAGGCCTGGGCGTGACACCATAGGAGCCCAGGAATTCAAATCCATTGTGAGGAGCCGTGCACACCATCACAACCGAAAAGGGAAGGCTTGGCCATGTTACTTTTCTTACGATCCGCTAACCCCGTGCCTCCACTTATTTTGGGGCTGCGTACCTGAGGCTCTGATGCTCTGTTTAATTTACCTTCCAAAGAGAACAGGGGTATATGAGCAAAGGGAACAACACATTTCAGTCATGGCGGGGAACTAGAACTGATCCTGTCTTCTTGCCCCAAGTCTGGACCCTCTTCTTCATGTTCACTATTGTTTGTGGCCAGGTTACCCGTTCCTTAAGACTGTCAGGTGTGTTATAGATAATAGTGCCGTGACCGACACTCTCTCGAACAGGCACACACGCATGCACACCCACGCAGCCACACCAGCATCATTGATGTATCCTGTCTTGAGCTCCTGAGTGTCTCAGCCCCCAGCTCTGAGATGCGAGAGGTCTGGAGACCGAGAGCCTTTCTTCCCACTCTCTGGCTCTAATCAAAGATACATGGAATGTGAGGTCATTGTGCAGACCTGTGAGCAAATTCTACCTGTGTTTCCTGTTGTTTTTTGACAAATCCTCTTCTTCCTCTCCTCCGAGCTCTCCTCGTGCTGTTGAGATGGCCGTCTGGCTCTTAGCCCCCACAGGACTCATGGTTCTCCATCCTAGCACCTGTGGTCAGTTTCCTATAAACTCAGCCAAAACTGTGAGGCATGGTTGTGTGATCACAGGCCTGACTCAGCATGGACCTACTGTCTGCTCATGCAGTGTCCTTTCTCTCTCTAGATGACAGGGACTGTGGTGTGGAGCTGCTGGCGTGTCCTCAGAGCCCCATACCTTTGCCTTCCCTCTCACTCACAGAACCAGCCACAGTATGGTTTTCTTCATTTTCTCCCAAGAAGGAAGGGCCTTCTCTTGTGGGTTTTTTTTTTTTTTTTTTGAGACTGTCACTATATACCTCTGGCTAGCCTAGAACTTGTTATGTAGACCAGGCTGGCCTTGAACTTGAATCTTTTGTGTGTGCTGGGACTACGGGTGTGCATCATTACAACCGACACCTTGTGAGGTGATTTCAGTAGTTAGACATCTCATGCCTGCTAGCACTATCTCTTACCATCAACACTGTATCCCATTAGCTTGTACCGCTCAGGTCCCAGGGAGACGAGCCATGCTCTCCCGTGGCCTGACACTGCTGTGCTGTGTTCTCTTGTAGGTGCATATTTTCCACCCACCCCTGGTGCCAAGCAAGTACCACTCCCTCCTTACAGACTACATCTCCTTGGCCAAGACAAGGCTTGCTGACCTCAAGGCAAGTCTGGCCCCTCCCTAGCCTTGCCTGGGGGCACCCAGTGCCCATCTTTGTACTCACATGCTTATCCCTCTGAAGGTTTCCCTGGAGAACGTGGGACTCTATGAGGATTTGTCGTCCCCTGGGGACATTGCCGAGGTAATGAACACTGATTTGGGTTGACCTTGCCTCTGGGCTTGAGTATTTTGGCTCTCAACTTCCTCCACTTGGTTCATCTCTAGTGAGTGAGGCTGGGCTGGCTGTTTTCCTGAAAGTGTTTTGTTTGTACTGTCTTTGATACCACTAGCAGAGGCGAGTGGCCATGCTACAGTGAATGTTCTTCGGGATTTGTTAGTTTACATTTTTTAAATTTAGTTTAATTTTATTTATCTACTTTTTTTTGTTGTTATTCTTTTATCACAAGGTCTCTTTGTGTAGTCCTGGCTGACCTGGAACTTGATCTGTAGACCAGGCTGGCCTCAGACTCAGAGCTCTGCCTGTCTCTGCCTCCAGAGTGCTGAGATTAAAGGCGCCTGCCCACCAACCGACCTGACCTGATTTTTTTCCGGTGCATGATCAGAAGTTAGAGCAAACTCATAGGAATTGGTTCTTTCTTCTCACCTTGTAGATCCTGAGGACTGAACAGCTTGGTGGCAAACACTTTCCCTCCTGGACCATCTTGCTTGGCCCATTTTTATTTTTTATAGAATATGTCAGAGGGATGGGCTGCGCATGTGCACATGTGGAGGTCAGGGGACAACTTTGTTTTCTCCTTCCTGAGGATCCAAGAGTTCTCTTTCAGGTTTCCCAGGTGTCTACAGCAGGCACCATGACCCACAGCCATTTTGCCTCTCTGTTTCTCTCTTCCCCATTTTCTTTGTGACAAGATTGTGTAGCCCCAACTGACTTTAAACTCCTCAGCCTCCTGGGTACCTGGATTATTTGCCACCATACCTAGCTTTGACATTTAATAATTTTTTGTTTTTTGTTTTTTGTTTTGTTTTTTTTGAGACAGGGTTTCTCTGTATAGCCCTGGCTGTCCTGGAACTCACTCTGTAGACCAGGCCAGCCTCGAACTAAGAAATCTGCCTGCCTCTGCCTCCCAAGTGCTGGGATTAAAGGCGTGCGCCACCACCGCCCAGCCAATAATTTTTTTTTAAATCTCAAAGTTAAGCCTCTGTTCTGGCCTGGCCCGTCCCACCTCTCCTGGAAGAGTGGCAGGTGGCGGGGAGGGGGAGAAGCAGAGGCTGGAGCAACTGCAGTTGAGAAGTTGGCACTGACTTTTGGAGTTGAGCTGGACCCGGGGGACCTGGGAATGTTCTGGGTTGAACAGTACCCATCTCACCCTTTACCTTTACAATGTGTAAAACTCAGGGCAACAGGAACAAGTTGGTGCCAGTTTTTTCTGCTTCTTTACTTGCTTTCAAATCTTTCTCTCTCCATCCCTGTATGGAACTAGCGTGAGAGCCAAGCAGTCCAGGATGTTAAGAAGGCCATCATGGTGTTTGAACAAACAGGGAAGATCCCCATGCCCGTCCTGGAGGCCAGGTAGGAACAGGCTGCTGGGGAGCGCCTGCTGCATACAGCATGTTCAGACATGGCCATGCTGACCCTACTATAGTGGGAGTCTTGAAGTCGGTCCTCTTTTGGTCTCAAGGTCACATGGGGATGAAAGGGTCATATTCGATCATGGGAGACAGGTCGGTATGGATGCTTTGTCAAAGATGAGGTCTGAGGTGGCATAGAGTGAGGGCAGGTCTATGTTTAATTTTGGCACTGAGAAGTTTAATGAGAAGTTGGCACTCAATAAGAATGTAGAACAGGCTGGCTTCGAACTCAGTGCCTGCCTCTGTCTCCTGGGTGCTAAGATTAAAGGCGTGTGCCCCCACATCCAGCCTGTGTTCACTTCTGCGACAGCACATGGTACCCTCGCTATTTGAAACAGGCAATAGAATGGTACCTATTCGAAGCCTGGGGAACTGGGTAGCTCTATTGAATTCATTGTGAGCCCTGAACATCTTGTATTGTGATTGCTCTCAGTGTTGGTGACCTGAGCCCAACTCATCACCTCAAGGCAGAAAGATCACAGTGGCCCCAGCGCAACCCTCAGGGCCTTAGAACAGTGAAGATGAAAACCCCATAAAACCACGGCTGAAGCCCACGTGTGGTGGTGCAAACCTTTACTCCCAGAACTTCAGAGGCAGAGGCAGGAGGATCTCTGTGAGTTTCAGGCCAGCTAGCAATGTTGAGATATTGAGATATTGTCTCAATAAAACAAACCATAATAAACCCCACATGACCAGTATAGGGCCTGGCCAGGCCTGGTGGCACCCACTTATAACCTCGGTGCCTGAGATGTGGGTGTGGGTAGAGCAGGTACTCAGGGTTTTGTCACATTAGTGTGTTTGAGGCCAACAGGGCTGCATAAGACTGAGTCAAATCCAATAGGAAATCCTCGGGGTGTGATTGTCTTGGAGGGAGAAGCCTTTCTCCTGCGTTCATCATGGTGTGTCTTCCTTTTTACGCCACAGCATATTCAGGAGGCCCTACTACGTGTCGCACTTCCTCCCCGCGCTGCTTGCACCGAGAGTGGTGAGTACATCTCGGCTCCAGCCATGTCTGGGTGTTCTGTTCCCTGCCCCTACTCACAGGATTGCTCTCCTCACAGCTCCCAGAGGTTCCTGACTCCCGTGCGGCCTTTATAGAGACCCTCAAGAGGTAAACAAGACCTTCCACGGGGGCTGCTCTGCGTCCAGTGGGTTTTTGGTCGGTTGTTTGGTTGTGTGGTTGGGTAGTTGGTTTTTGGTTTTTCGAGACAAGGTTTCTATGTATAGTCCTGGCTGTCCTGGATTCGATTTGTAGACCAGGCTAGCCTCAAACTCATAAATCCACCTGCCTCTGTCTCCTGAGCTCTGGGATTAAAGACGTGGGCCACCACACCAAGCTTTTCCAATGGGTTTTAATGGGACAAATACTTTCAGTTCTTTTATAGAGAGAATTTACCACACATGTGTTTTATTCTTAAGATATTTGGCTCCAAATTAGTTGGTCATGATCTTTAAAAAAACCAGACTGGTTCTGGCTGTAGCTTCTTCCCATCACTCTTCACTGAGGTTTCAGGATGATTGATCTGGGAACTAGAGCCAGTGTATCGATCAGTCATGGCAAGAGGTGGATTTAGAAGGGTTAGGGACCCTGGAAGGCCCCCCGTTCAGAGACGTAGGAACGACCTCTGGTTATGTATAGAGGATGCAACCTCATCTGGCTTGTCAACACAGTGGCCTCCAGCAGCCAACTGCTTCATAGCTGAAAGGTCTTCCTGAGGGATGTGGGAAGCTACCTCGAGTTTTCGTTAGATTTAGGATGTAACGGGCCCACAAGAAGATAGAAAGACTACAGAGCCTGGAAGGTACAGATTCTTTTTTACATTTTATACTAAGATTCTTCCTTCCTTCCTTCCTTCCTTCCTTCCTTCCTTCCTTCCTTTCTTTCTTTCTTTTTTTTGTTTTTCGAGACAGGGTTTCTCTGTGTAGCCCTGGCTGTCCTGGAACTCACTCTGTAGACCAGGCTGGCCTCGAACTCAGAAATCCACCTGCCTCTGCCTCCCAAGTGCTGGGATTAAAGGCGTGCGCCACCACCGCCCGGCCTAAGATTATTTCTTAGGCCAGTGAGATGGCTCAGTGAATAGAGGCGCTTGCTGCCGCTCTGGACAAGCTAAGTTCAATCCCCAGAACCAAAATGGTGGAAGGAGAGACCATCCCTGGGATTCATGTTTATTTTTATATTTATCATCGTTTGTTTATTTACTTATTTGATTTAGGGTATCACTTAGTAGCTCTGGAACTCAGAGATTCCCCACCCCCATGCTCCACCCCCCATCTCTGCCTCCTGAGTGCTGGGATTAAAGCATGTGCCATCACTCTGGCCTTTTTTATATATAATATTTAAAATATTTGGAGTCCTTCCTCCCACAATGTTTCCTGAGACTTAGCGTATGTAAGAGCCACAGATAGGTAAAGGGCCGTGAAGCTCCATCCTTTGTACTCTGGACGGACATTGCAGTCATGACCTTCCGAGTGTGGTTGGCTGCAGCAGCCCACATAGACAGGCCCTGTCTACAATCAGTCACAGAGCAAGGGCGTCATGGGGCGTATTCCTTACTGCTCAACTGCTGGTCATTGATAGTTCCTGGAAGAGGGAGAAACACCGTCCCGAGCTACTGCTGAGCCCATAGGCTCCAAGGGAATGTCCCCAATCCATGTCACCCTCGCTAAACTCAGCGGGTCACAGAACTAAACAAATAGACGTGAACAGGAGAAAGATCTGTAGATGAGGTAACGGGGAGGTGGGGGGCGGAGTAGTCAGATTACATCACAGGCACGTGTGAATTTGTCAAACAACAAATTTAAATAATGAAAGGAGACTCAAATGCCTGGAAACGGAAAGCTAACCTTAAAGCATCTACCTAAATATCACCCGAGACTTTTTACTTTAACTGGTCATATAGTAAACTCAAAACGAAGCAGAAATATTAGCATGACCTCTGTTGGAAGGATATCATGCAAACATATAAAGTTCTGTTTTTAAAAAACAAATCCCACTCCCAGCACTTGGGAGGCAGAGGCAGGTGGATTTCTGAGTTCGAGGCCAGCCTGGTCTACAGAGTGAGCTCCAGGACAGCCAGGGCTATACAGAGAAACCCTGTCTCGAAAAACCAAAAAAAAAAAAAAAAAAAAAAAAAGAAAAGGAAAAAAAACAAATCCCACAAGCCGTCTGTCTTAGTTCAGGTTTTACAGCTGTGAGCAGACACCATGACCAAGGCAGCTCTTATAAAGACAACATTTCATTGAGGCTGGCTTACATGTTCAGAGGTTCAGTCCGTCACCATCATGGTGGGAAGCATGGCAGCATCCAGGCAGACATGGTGCTGGAGAAGCCGAGAGTTCTTCATCTTGATCCAAAGGCAGCCAGAAAGGGGCTGACTCATCTACACTGGGGCGAGCTAGAGCAGAGGACCTCAGGGCCCACCCCCACAGTGACACACTTCCTCTGACAAGGCCACACCTAACTTCCCATGGGCCTGGCATATTCAAACCTCCACACCTTCCATGTGTTGCTGTCTTTTGAAACAGTCTCATGTAGCCCACACTTGAACTTGTTATGTAGCTAAGGTTAACCCAGAACTGCCGATTCTCCTGTTTCCAACTCCCAAGCTCAGAGTACAGGTATCCACAGGACACCTGGTTTTATTTGTTTGTTTTGAGATAGGTCTTACTGTGTAGCTCAGGCTAGCCTCTCTACATCTCTGTCTCCTAAGTGCTAGGATCACAGGCATGGACCACCATGTCTGACTTCAACTCCATTTGATGCCTGTGTCTCTCAGGTACCTTGGCTGCTTTGAGTATCTTATAAAATGAATTGGGTAACTACTTTCTGTTTGCTGGAACTGTTTGTTGAGTCAAAGATTCTGCTCTGCTGAAAGCTTAGGAGAATGTGGTATGAAAACATTAGTCAGCTAACTTTTGCAGAGTCATAGACACTGGCTGTGGACCCAGTTTTGTAAATGACTGTTAGTTTAGTCTGGGCCTTTCTTTCTTTCCTTCTTTTGTTCTTTCTTTCTTTTTGTTTTTTTAAGGTTTCTTCTATTTCAAGCTGAGCCTATCGGTACATCCAGTACTTGAACCAGTAGAGGCAGGCCCATGTCTGTGAGTTTGAGGATAGCTTGGTCTTTATAACAAGTTCCAGGTTAGCCGGGGCTACATAGTGAAACATTTTCTCATCAAAGCAAAACAAACACAAAAAATTTTATTTCATCCAGTTTTGTTTTGTTTTTGTTTTTGTTTTTTCTTCTTGTGATACTGGGAATAGAACCCAGGGTCCTGTATGCACCAGGCAAAGGCTCTACCACTGAGATATCCTATCCACACTTCCCTCACTGACAGTATTTGTCACAATGACGTAGAAGTGTTGAGAGGAACCAGGGCTGTCGGTGTTTGCAGTGTCGTTGGCCACAGCCACCTGGCAGTGTGGACTTACCCAGGCGTCTCACTGAGCAACATGCAGCTCTGGGGTGCCACTGGAAAGAGAGAGAGAGAGAGAGAGAGAGAGAGAGAGAGAGAGAGAGAGAGAGAGAGAGAGAGAGAGA